AAATGCAACAGCAGCTAAAACAAAGAATCAATATATGCAGAAAACCATCTCTGAACGTGAATGTATGCTGCTTCTGTATTTACACACCTTCACTGATATTAGACTATATGGATTAGGAAAAACACTTCTGGTCATTGAAGTCTCTGGACTGTTGGGTCAGAACGGTCAAACGTCATAGAAACATGGATCCATTCTGCCCTATGTTAGAGGAATAGTCCGGTCAGCACGGAATAATCATTAGATCATTATTTATACCAAAAACTGAGACATTCCTGGTGATTTAATGAATTTAGTGTTAATCATTTATACCCAAATATAGTAACCCCTCCTTCCTGCCATCTTCCAGCAGTGACGTCACGGTGCGGTTAGCCTAGCGCCATTCTCCCCGCTTTACAAGCAGAATCAATGGGAACTACCGATACCATCTGTTTGAAATTGATGTGTGTTTGTATATGTGTGAAGAACTGCATACTAGGATTGTCACGAAACTAAACTTTTCAACTCGATACCCATACTAAGGAAAATATTCGATACTCGATACCACAAGGATAAAAACAAAGACTTCAAAATTCAACAGAAATATTTTCATTAATAAATAAAATACAATAAATAAGAACAATAAACAATGAGAACAATATTTTGAGGTTGTATGCTGTGCACAATATTAAGCAAGCATGATAAAAAGAAATATTAAAATGAAGTGTTCCTTCCTTGGCTATGCTTTGCACACATAAAAATGACATAAGCCAAACCGGTTAAGAAACAAAAATAATTCTCAGCAGCTGCACCTGTTACAAAAAAAGTCTGAAACTGAAAAGTGCGTAGAATTATTCAATCACACAGTGTTCAGAAAGTGCATTTTCCACTATTCTGCACTTTAGATGAATGACTGCTTTGGTGCCACTGGTGGTAGCACTGTATCGATACTTTTAAAAACGAGTAATGTATCCGGATACAACGTTTCAGGATCGATACTTTTGACAACCCTACTGCATACTACTTGGATGTAAAATAATTGCCATCATGACTTTATCAAGCTGCTGCCTACCTTTGTGAAGCAGGAAAAAGACTAATAGTGAATCCATTAGAACTTTTTATTGCCTACCTGGAACGGGTGACAATAGTTGAATAAACTTTTGGCTCTCTAAATGGTATCAATGCCCTATTTGTTGGTACCCACTTATACCGATACCACCATTTTAATGCTGGATCGGGGCCCCGCCTGATACTGGTATTGGACTAGTTGTGACAAACACCAGATACAGCACTGGGACTTGATCAACAGCCGACACCGCACCGTGACGTCACCAACCACTAGGTGGCAGTAGTGTTCTTTGACAAACATGGATGCCTCCAGTAAAGCATATTCAGATTAAATTTACTCTGAATTAAAAACATTTATCATTTATTGAACAGGATGTAATAATTTTCATTTTTAAAGTACTTAAAGAAGTAAAAATTCTGAATATGTAAAATGATTAAATTTCTCATTAAATGCACACAGATAATTCCTGCTACTTCTGCATTAATAAATGATGGCTGTAAACTGAAACGCCTCGTGTCCA